CCCTTAAATCTCTCCCTTCATCCGCAGGCACAGCGCAGCTCCTGGTTAAGCATGTGTTCCGTCTCCATGGCATCCCGGAGGAGATCCTGTCGGATAGGGGTCCGCAGTTCGTGTCCCAAGTATGGAAGGAGTTCGCAGAGGCCTTGGGGGCTAAAGTGGCGCTTACCTCTGGACACCACCCCCAAACCAACGGCCAATGCGAACGGATGAACCAGGAGCTGGGGGCCATGCTGCGCTGTGTCTGCTCCATTCACCCGTCGTCCTGGAGCACCCATCTTCCCTGTGTGGAGTATGCCCATAACAGCCACATCTCTACGGCTACAGGTCAGTCCCCGTTTGAGGCTTCCCTCGGTTTTCAACCCTCGCTTTTCCCCGCACAATCTACGCCTGGCTCCTCCGTTCCCCAATTCCTCCGTTGTGCCCGTCGTGCCTGGACCACCACCAGGACGGCGCTGGATCGTACTGCACAGAGGAACAAGCAGGTAGCTGATCGCCGACGGCGTCCGGCCCAAGTCTACGTCCCAGGGCAGTCTGTGTGGTTATCGTCCAGGAACATTCCACTGAAGGCCTCTTCCCGTAAGTTATCTCCCCGGTTCATTGGTCCCTTTAAAGTTTTGGCTGTTCCGTCCCCCACTACGGTCCGCCTGGATCTCCCTCGGACCCTACGTGTGCACCCGGTGTTCCACGTCTCCCTGGTCAAGCCTGTGGTCACCAGTCCTCTCTGTCCTGTGCCTGCACCTCCTCCTCCGGCTCGCCTGCACCAGGGGGACTTGATCTACACTGTTCGCAGGATCCTGGACTCCCGTCCCCGCGGTCGGGGTATGCAGTACCTTGTGGACTGGGAGGGCTACGGTCCCGAGGAACGCTCCTGGGTGCCACGCTCTGCCATCCTGGATCCTTCCCTCATTCGGGATTATGAGGCTGCTGCGGCTAGGACGCCTGCAAGGCGTCCGTTGAGGGGGGGGGTACTGTTGTGAGCTGGGAGGTGAGCACTCCACACACACCATGACATCACCTGGCTTGTGAGTTCTGTTTTCAGGAGAGAGAGCAGCAGCTGCAATCAATCAGCTGATCAGTGGGTGGCCTTCATAAGGAGGACGGAGGACACTGCTAAGCCGCCGGATGATTACGCCTACTGGTAGAGTCCCAGCCACAGTGTTAACTCGATTTTGAAACCTTGACTTTGAACTGTCGGAACTTAGACTTTGAACTTTGAAACCTTAGCCTTGAACTTTAGAAACGTGTTTTTTGCTAGCGATCTTTTGCTCAGATTTTGTTCTCGTTTTGTCTCAGGCTCAGTCATCTTTCCATACACCACCTCCTCGCTGAGACCTTTTGGATTTACTACTCGACCATACTACGTCTGGACTTCACTCCCGGTTCCCGTCCTCCTCACGGCACTAACTGCTCCCAGCACTACAGGCTCTCTCTCTCCTTCCCTCCGGTTGTAAAACCTTGCCGATCTTCATCACCCCGGAATACTCATTCACTCTCCCAGCTCACCCCTCCCTGGAGATCCTCCACCACGCTACAGCTATAAGTCCTCCTACCAAACTCATCCTCTACCACACTACAGTTTCAATCAAGGACTCACCTCTGTTTCCCTTCCCTCAGACACTGCTCCCGTTTACCCATTCACTGGATTTCCAGTGCACCCTAAGTTCTAGTTACCAAATAAATCTTTATTTTTTCACATCCTGCTCCAGTGTGTTGATTCTGCATGTCTTGGGTTAAATCATTACCTCAGACCATGACAATTACGGGTACTTTTAGTGTTTTTCTGTAAAAATATGGAATATAATTATTCCAATAAACATCTGAAAAGATGCACAGACCGGCATTTTTAGAAATCCTATCTTTATTTGAACAGACAAGTTTGTGTTTTATTATGTTTGGTCAAAGTTATTAAGACTCTTTGTGGAAGGTCAACAGTCACCTGTGGCTCCAGAGCCACAGGTTGCAGACCCCTGCCCTAGGCTATTTTATCAGGAAAAAGAATAAACATCATCAGTGTTAGGCCAAAGACATTTCTTCTGTCAGTGAAACCAGATGGACCTGACCAGATCAGACTCTGATGTTCTGAACTCTGATTAAACCAAGATCTAGATAAAGGTCAACCCTAGCCCCAACATAAATAACAAATAAATAAATAAATCAGAAGCATTAGCCATTCAGAATGTTTGCTTTAGTTCCTAGTAGGGCTGGGCAATATGGCCTAAAATCAACATCATGATATACTGAGGACCTTACCTCGATAATAAATGGATGATAACTATACGTATAAGCAAAAAAATAATAATTTTCCACTAGATGGGGCTGTCAGGTGTATTAGTTGACTTACGTTGTCATGTGACTCGGGTTGGTACAGCATACAGTGTTCTGCTGATTATTTTTCTTATAATTATAATTCATCTTTATTGTGTTAGTTCTGTTTTATTATTATGTGTTATTTTTTATTTTTACTGCCAAACTTACTGTATTTTAACACTGCTAAATGTATGAGTTTCTAATCTAAAACGTATATTCTTTCAGGTTTTGACTCCTTCGTTAGATTGGACTTGATTTTAGGTAAATGGCAGATCCAGTTGGGCCCAAGCGGATATGTTAGACAGGTGATCTTAAGCGAGTGTCAGAGGTGAGACCAAGACAAGGAAGAAGACAAAAGGTGGGAATGAAGAGATAAATGTGTGGTCACATAAACACTCAGAAGCCAGTGTTTTCAAGACTTTTCAAACACTTTACAGGCATCTGTTTCTAAACCAGTATCACCTTAGAGGAAAAAGTACATTTCCTTTTACTCCACTGTACAGGTGCGATTCTGCTTCGCACCTGAAAACACTTAAGTTTCCAAAAAAATACCCATCAAACTAGGGATGTCCCGATCAGGTTTTTTGCCCTCGAGTCCGAGTCATTTGATTTTGAGAATCTGCCGATACCGAGTACCGATCTGATACTTTCGATACATAAAAAAAAGAAAGAAAAGGAAGAAACAGTTCCAGAATGTTCCTTATTTTTTATTTAATTACCTTTTTATTTTAATTTTTAACAACAGATCACTTCTGGGAGGTAGCTTGAACAATCAAGTAATAAGAAAATGTGTCTTGCAAATTTAAAAAAACAACAGGAAGTGAAGTTCTCCCAAAGCTTCTCACGTGAACCCATACATTCTTCACTTTTGGACTTTATTGCAAACATAAAAGTCTAATATAAAAACAGATAGCACTTCAACTTAAAATACCTGGCAGGGGTCTATTTTGCCTCGGCCCCCAAAATGCTTAGATACGTCCCTGGGCATGCAATGGAGTTTTGAAGATGATCTGAATTGTATCAACTATATAAATCCTACATGCTGATAATTTATTGCTTTATACAGGTACAAACGTGTAGTGCGATCAATCTACCTACATTTTATTTTTTTAAGAACTTTGTTTTGTTTTCTTGGTTTTTATTTTCCCATCTTCCTGTCCTGTCTGTCTCTGATCTTCCTGCATCTCCCAGTCCTCCTGAAAAACTCCTGCCTGCTTCCTTCTTTTTCACCTCACAAGTAACTTTTTAACTAGCAGATCAAACTGATATGTTGACCGCAAAAAAAGCTGAGTGTGCGCTGCGCTGCTCGACTGTGCCAGTGAAGAGTGCTGCAGCGAGAACGCGTTCACACGTCATGCTCAAATACAGACAGAACTTACCAGAGAGAAAATGAACGGACACGAATGACTGTGTGTTAATTATATATTTTGGGTGACGCCACTTAGAAACTTAGAAAATGTTACTGTGGCCGTGTGCAGAACGCAGCTGGAGTTCATGAATAATCAGCGGTCTGCCTGCCGCTCTGCTCAAAAGAATCCCCGCTACGCTGAGTCCATATAAATAATATAATATAGGTACAAACTGGATCTCTTTTGTGCTAGGAGAACCAAGTTGCTCTTCTGTAATTTGAACCCAGTATCCAACTCAGAATCGGGGCTTGGATCGGGAAGTAAAGCTCGAGTCCCGATCAGTCTGAAACCACATGATCGGGGCTGATTTCCAATCGTGATCGGATCGGGACATCCCTGCATCAAACCACTGCTGTTCAAACCTGTCAAATCCACCCATCATCAGACCTTATTCTGCTACAAACAGAATACACCTTTAGTGCCTTAGCCCAGCGGAGGACCAAGCAAGGAACGGCTTATAAAGCGCTGAGGGAAACCCTGGAGGAATGACTGATTGTGTTGTGAAGCACCTTGGGGGGTAGAACCCTAAGAAGGTGCTATACAAATACAGGCCATAAACCAAACAACTTGGAAATTCTAAATAATGACCAACTCACTGTCTTATATAGTCTTATATAATTGACAGAATAAAGCCATCTGGTTATTGTACATTCAAGTCCAATAAAAGTCCAACTAAACATTTGGTCCGCAACAAGTCTTACGTTCACAGTCCAACACAAAAGACCCCTGAAAGAATTTATAATTACCCTCAGATATGTTTCTGACAACCTCTGTTAGCATTCTTCTTATGTTAGCTTCAAACTTTTGGGTGTCATCTTCCTGAACCAATAGGTGAGAGGTTGCCACCCACTGCTGGGACAAAATCATCAGCTATTGGCTGACAGGTTAGAAATACCAAAATATTCCACCAAATACCAAATCTATTATCTGGTATGTGGAGTGAACCAACTACAGCACAGTTTATAAATAAATTACGCATCAAATACCCATTTGGAAAATAGCAAAATCTCATGCGGAACCCTCGTGGCCTGCTTCCGCAAACTGAGTAAAAAAGATTATGGTTGGTGAAGAGTTGTGTGCAAGAGTGTGTGAGGCCCACAGAACTTCTAAATGTTTCCTGCGCAAATACATCACCCATCATCATTTTTCGTAGTGACAAATATCTCTTAGAAATGTTGATATATCGTCCAACCTTAGTCACAATACGAAATGTTTCATTGTGCTGTACAGGTAGTTGTGACATGATTGTGCACTGGACTTCCAGAGCCAGACTACATCCCTCACCAATAACTTGGCCTTTTCGTGCTCTTCGTGGGTCTTGTGTTTCTCCAACATGAGGGCCGGGGTCAGCTCACTCAGGTCTGTGACGGCTGCAGCTTCTCTCTCCTTCTGGGCCAGTTTAGCCAACTGCTCCTGCACCAGAGCCTGCTGACGCTCAAAGCTGAAGGAAAAAAAGATAAGAGCTGTTGACCTTTGACGCTGTATTTATCCAAACATAACCAATAGGCTCAGAAAGATGTTGGTTTAATCACATTAGCAGTTAAAGGTTTTGGTTAGGGCTGCAACAAACGATTATTTGGATAATCGATTAATCGGATGGGGTCTCGACACGATTAATCGATTAATCGGATTACATGGGGAAATTTTTAAAAACTGCTAGGGAAATGTTATTTCTCTCCTTCCTTCACTTTATTTAACACAACATTATTAGAAAACAGTTCAATAGCAGAAAAACAACATGCCATCACCTAAATTGTCTTATAAGGTGTATAGACAGAGACCCTAAGCTACATCTATCTGTGACCTAAAATGCTTGGTCCAAGTTAAACAGCTTAAGGGCAATTTTCATCTGTTTTGTTTGATCTCATCTGTTGACATTTATTTTAAATGTAATTAAACATAGGCTGTGAATTAATCAAAATTGATCACTATTTCCAAAAATGACTGAAAAAATACCAAATAAAACAAAAGTAAATGAATGCCATCCTCCTTGCGATGATGCCCTGGGCAACTGCCATAAAGTCACATCAAGAAATGCTGCTGATCATTCCAATGATCCCAAATAGACTCACATTAGGCCACATGAAAGCAACTGAACCCAAAAATATATTAACCAGTATATAACTGCACTCTCACACAACACGCCTGCAGCAACAGTTAGGACTCCTCCCTCCCTTTTAAAAGCGTTTTTGCTTCTGAGGACATTGTGGTTGTAAAACCACATGCTAGTCTGGCCCCGGTGTGATCAACCAGTTTCTGCGGGAATGTGACGGCGGAACCAGGGCCAGATTAACACTTTGTTGTACCCTGGGCAACAATATTCAAGGGCTCCATCATCACGACCCAAGGATCACCATAATGTGGTCACATACAGAATATTTTACTGTAATATGCAGTAAATATACTCAATACTTGAATGCCTGACAACACGTAACCCGCCCAGAGTAACCTTTGACCCACCTCGTGTGGACTGACCAATGAGGAGAGGGTCTTAACTTGAGGCCCTCTCTTCATTGGTCAGTCTGCATGAGACTGACTCTCAACTGACGTTCAGTCGTAGGCAGCGAAGCGTCTCTGTGCAGCGCAAAAGCCCGGGTGGACAGTTTGTTTAATGTAGGGTGATCATATTTCCATTTCCAAACAAGAGGACAGGGGATCTGTGCCTATGACGTCACACTATGGCAACGCCACACAAACCATGTTGGGACCCATTTTTTGTAAGAACTAAATTAATATCAGATTCTGCCAATTAAAGGGCTCTAAAACAATTCATATGTAAATATTTTGCATATTTAATGCAAAATCTAATTTTTCTGCTTTAGTGCTGCAACAAGGTTTTATTAATAATAAATTATAATACCTTTTGTTCTACTACAGCATCGGTAAGCTTCCTGTGCACAGATGATTAAGGATGCTTGTTTCAGCTGTGAGATTAGACGATAGGATCAATGAAAAAATAAATTGTCACACACTCCATGGAAACTTTCAGAGAATCCACAAATAGTGGCTTTCAAATGGTTTTGTTACTTTTTGCAAGTTTATAAAAGAAGCTGATGAGACAGCATGTCTGATAATTTAGTTTTTCATCTGATAATATTAGAACATGTCAGTAATGTCTGAGGGGCTTTTATAAACACCATATAACTAACACTACTGGAGAGGGCATGAATTACACAGAGGCTTCTGGGGAGCCCAGTTATTGGGGGGGTGGGGGGGGGGGCATTTTGCCTTGGCCCCCAAAATGTCTTGAAACGGCCCTGGGTGTGTGACTGAGTTTTGAAGGTGATCTGATCTGTATCAGATGTATAAATATGACATGTGTATAACTTATTGTTTTTTACTGGTAAAAACGTGTAGTGGAGATAAATCTACCTACATTTTACTTTTCAACACTTTGTTTTGTTTTCTTGTTTTTATTGAACTATTTTCCTGTCCTGTCTGTCTCTCATCTTCCTGCATCTCCTCTTAATTCTCCAGAAAAACTGCTGCCTGGATTCTTACCTTTTCACCTCATCAGTTACTTTTGAGCAGATCAAAGGGATCTCCTGACCATAAAGCGGAGAGCGCGTTTTCGATGCTGCGTGAGGTGAAATCACCGCAGCACAGGTGATGAGCTCCGCAGTAGCGCGCTTCAGGCACAAATAAGACAGAAAATAGAGAACATGTGCGGACATGAACGATCGTGTGCTAATTATAGTTTTTTGGTTGAGCCACTTTGAGAATGGACCGTGCGCTGGAAGCAGCTGCCTGGATCGCTGTGCAACAATGCGGAACCGGTTCGCAGCAGCGCAAGTCTGCCGGCTCTCCCTCGCGCTGATCTGCCGCTACAGGCTCTCCCTCACGCTGATCTGCGGCTCTCCCTCGCGCTGATCTGCGGCTCTCCCTCCCGCTGATCTGCGGCTCTCCCTCGCGCTGATCTGACTTGCTCTGGTCTGCGCGCAACGGCGGGCGGGAAGGGGGGGGGGGGGGGGGGGGGGCGCTTTTGGAAGAGTTGTGCGACACAACGAATCGATGACGCAATTCGTTGCCAACGCTTTTAGTAATCGATTTTCATCGAATTTATCGATTCGTTGTTGCAGCCCTAGTTTTGGTGAAAGTAACCTCGCCAGAATTCTTTGTGGGAATATTTAGGATTTTGTCACTGTTTATGAATAAAGCTGGGGCTAAATGTGCAAAGATGGGAAGAGAAACAGCACAACTTTTTGTTAAAGCTCCCAGTAACACATTAGTGCTAACACTAGCATACAAAGTCCGAGATGGTACGGCTCCCGTCTACCTGAATACTCTTGCAGAGGCTTACGTCTCGGCCCGGCCGCTCCGGTCATCACAGGATCGTCGGCTAGCAGTGTCTACACCACGCTCAGGACAATCCAGACTCTTCTCATGCATCGTTCCACAAATGTGGAATGACCTACCAAGCACTACCAGAACTGCAGCTTCCTTTTCAATTTTCAAGAAACTCCTGAAGACCCTGCTCTTCAGAGAGCATCTTCTAAACTAGCACCCTCCCTGCACCCGTCCCCCCTCTCTACTGTCCACTCCTTGTTGCCTCCTTTCCATGATTGATGTCAATGTTGTTGTTATTAGGCCCGAGCAGCGAAAGCGCTGCGAAGGCCTCTTGTTTTTGCTCTGATTATTATTAGGCCCGAGCAGTGAAGCTGCGAAGGCCTATTGTATCTGCTCCGTTTATTATTATTATTATTATTATTTATTATTAGGCCCGAGCAGCGAAGCGCTGCGAAGGCCTATTGTATCTGCTCCGTTTATTATTAGGCCCGAGCAGTGAAGCTGCGAAGGCCTATTGTATCTGCTCCGTTTATTATTATTATTTATTATTATTATTATTATTATTATTTTTTTTCTTCCGCGTCTTTGGGTGGCCTTTAGGGGGTCTTAGCATATCCAAAAAGTCACCAAATTCTGGCCCAATATAGAAAGTGCGTGAAATTTACGTATTTCACTGGCGATGTGAAAGTTCATAAAAAAGTGGCTGAACAGCGCCCTCTAGAAAGTGAAAAATACCCCTCTCCATAAAGCTTAGTTTATCGTACAGTTATGAAATTTGGTTTACTTGTAGTACTCAACAGTCCGCACAGAAAAGTCTCTTGCAACCATGGTCAATATCAAACAGGAAGTCGGCCATTTTGGGTTGAATTGGAGATTTTTAGCCGTTTTGGCCATTTCTAGGGTCTACATTTGGTTGAACAGTTTGGTCAATTTTCGCACGATTGTCTCAAAAATAGTGTACTATCGAACAGAAGCGATGGACGATTCAAATGAGAAAATAAAATTGACTTTTCGTAAATACTGAAGGGGCGGGGCCAGACCTCAAAGTTCGAGCACTCGCCAAAAAAATTCAAATTGCTATAATTTCATAAATGAAAGAATTATAGTTAAAGAAATGTTCTAAGGACAATCGTCATCGCCCCCCGAAGACAAATGAATGGTCGATTGGTGATGTCACATAAGCCCCGCCCCCTCAGGACTTAAAAGGTCAAGTTTTACTGGGAAATTTTCCAAAATTCGCCCTTTCAAATAATCATCTCAGATTTGTAGCAGGTAACTGAAGACAAGTTGGGGTTGCTTGGCGTCACTTTATGAGAGTTTTCTGCAGAAGGCGGGGCTGTGGCGGTGCGGCGAAGTCAGGCGTACCGACGTGGACATATGTTTGCCTCCCATTTCGTCATTTCTAGAGATATCACCACGACACCTCTTGGGAGTGATCCTAGTCCGGCCCCCAAAAGAATCAGATGTCAACATCTGGTGGGCGTGGCCTATTTTCTGAAATAGCGCCCCCTAGGACCATTAAAACTGTCAGCCCCAAGCCATGCTTTGACTGAGGAGTACGAAATTTGGTACACTAATGTGGTGTCTCAGGACCTACAAAAAAGTCTCTTGGAGCCAAGTGCAAAGTCGCACAGGAAGTCGGCCATTTTGGTCCAAGTACTCGATTTAGTGGTTTTCGCACACGTTGTTTGGATAGTGTTGCACCAACACCCTTTTCACCAATCACCTCCAAACATCTTTTATACACTCTTAAGACATAGATGAAAAAATTCAACCGTCGGATTTTAAATAAGTATAAAGGTGTGGGCGTGGCTAAGCCTCAAACTTTGATCTGTCGCCACGCCACTCTTTTTTTCACAGCTCCCTATTGGACTCCTTTTAACCAATCACCAGCAATCACTGGCAAATAGCAGCAGACAAGTTGAGGTCACTTGGTCTATAGCACTGGCAGGTTTCGAATAAAGGCGGGGCTTTGGGAGCATGGCGAATTTCACCATCAAGCCATGGAAATACGTTTGTCTCTTATTTCTTCAATCATTGTGACATCGCCACACAATTTCTGATGAGTGATCCTAATCTGACCCCTAATAGAATTGGACAGCTGAAGTTTGTGGGCGTGGCCTATTTTCTGAAATAGCGCCCCCTAGGACCATT